TACTACTACTACTACTACTACTACTACTACTACTACTACTACTACTACTACTACTACTACTACTACTACTACTACTGCTACTGCTACTACTACTACTACTACTACTACTACTACTACTACTACTACTACTACTACTACTACTACTACTACTACTACTACCACTACTACTACTACTACTACTACTACTACTACTACTACTACTACTACTACTACTACTACTACCACCACTACTACTACTACTACTACTACTACTACTGCTACTGCTACTACTACTACTACTACTACTACTACTACTACTACTACTACTACTACTACTACTACTGCTACTACTACTACTACTACTACTACTACTACTACTACTACTACTACTACTACTACCACTACTACTACTACTACTACTACTACTACTACTACTACTACTACTACTACTACTACTACTACTACTACTACTACTACTACTACTACTACTACTACTACTACTACTACTACTACTACTACCACTACTACTACTACTACTACTACTACTACTACTACTACTACTACTACTACTACTACTACTACTACTAAGCGGCGAGACCTTACCATGGATGGTGTCAGTAGAGAGATACCCCATAGAGCCAACATCCATTAGTTTGACTTCAAGGCAGCCAATAGGAAGCCCAACATGTCCCACCGTGAAGTCGTCAATATGTGCATAGCTCACTGCACAGGTTGCCTCCGTTTGACCATAGCCTTCCACAACCGGACAGCCCAGGAGAACCCTCATGAAGGTGAGCACGTGGGAGGCGACAGGAGCACTACCAGTGGCGACAAAACGAGCCCGATCCAAGCCTAGTTTTCTCTTCATATCATCGAAGATCATAGCATCCCAATGGTCGTGTTTGAGGAGGCCTTTTCGCAGGCCCGCTTTCTTATCTTCAACAGCTTGGTAGAATAAAGACTCCTTCATCCCACCAGCCTTACGAACAGTGCCGATCACACCATCGTAGAGGCGATTGAGAATACGAGGAACACAGACGAATAGCGTCGGCCTCAACGCCGCCACATCCTCCATGATTTTCCTAGGGTCGCCTCTTGAGAACCCAACAGCCGCCCCAAAGTGGTACATCATGGTTTGTACGAGGCGCTCCATGACATGGGCAAGAGGGAGGTAGCTGAGGTACGCCTCCTCCTCCTTGTCGGCGCCGAACTTCAGCAAAGGACTGTCCGACGTGACCAGTTCTGTGAGGCCCGCCACATTGGCTAGCATCCCAGCTTGACTAAGAAGGGCCCCCTTGGGAGCACCTGTAGTACCACTCGTATAGCAAAATGTCCCCACGTCTGACCCCTCGCCGACCAAGGGCTCGTATGAGACTTCAGCTCCACAGGCTTCGACATGGCAGAAGTCTACAAGCTGCACGTGGGCCTCCTCGCAGGTTTTATATAGGGCTTGAGGAGGGTCAAGACAGATGATGCACTCTAGAGAAGGACAGGTGTCTTTGCATTGAAGTAGACTGGAGACTTCGGTAGAGCTGCAGACTACAGTGCGAACTTGTGTTTGATTTATAACGTAGCTGACAGCATCCTCGCCGAGGGTATCATAAAGGGGTACCGTCGTAGCCCTCCTAGTGAATGCTCCTTGCTCAGCGATGATCCATTCGGATCTGTTCTTCATGTAGATACCAATTACTCTCATCGAGCCATCCCCAGATTTGGATAGTAGATTGAGATGCTCCAATCCTCTACCGAAATTGAGTATTCGATCATAAACCTCTTTATACGTCTGCCACTCATAAGGGCCAACCGAACCATCATCCAATCTAGGACGAGTCCCGTGGCAGGGCTGATCGGCATACTTCTCAGCGGCCTAAAAAGAGGAGTTCAATCTTGATGATGATCATCATCAATTTCCCATTATTACATCGCGGAAAACGTCAAAGCTGGTGGCCAAGGCTTCGTCCCCTTGTAATCGACTAAGGAGTCTATCTGCAAACTGAGGGTGCCGGTATATAGGGCCACTGACCCCTGGTATGGCGGTGTTGGGAACCTGCCATAGTCAGGAATCTCCAGTGAGAGAAGAGACTACCACCTCGTTACCTCGTATGTGTAGGGAGAGGATGGAGAGTCCATGACGAGGGAAAACAGGAAAGACTAGATTATTGAGCTATATCAAAGTCCTGCGCCAAGCCCTTGAGGGCCTTAGGTTATCAAGACCCCATCTCGTGTTGAAATCAGAAAGCAACTTGTACGATTCCTCAAGAGTTGATAATTCATAGGAGACCTATTATCGAAAAGGCCTGCCACAGTCGTAAAGATCAAGTCGATCTGTTCTTTTGCCAAGCCACATCGACTGAGCTGCGTGATGATGCGGGGCGGCGGCCGCTATGAACCATAGCGCATTTGTGATAGTAGCATATGTAAGGAGATCACCGATTGTTAATAATCACAGAAGCGGCACGTAGCAGATAAGATGCGATTATCCTCGCAATCAATGATTTTGGAACGATGAAGTTAGTCGGGACGCGCCATCAAGTGCAGAGTATGAATCCGAAACGGAAATGTGAAATTCGCTATGATATTCAAACTCCTTTGAGGTCTACAGGAAGTATAAATTCGCGTTTATAGACTCTTCAAACCCGTCTGAGTACTTTCATTTTCATCGTTCGTTCCCATTGGAGCCCTCCCTTTTGTTGGATGTGTTCGACACAACAACATTGGCCCGATAGCTTTAGGATGTCTTCATTTAGGGAGGACCGTAAGGAGTTCCTACTTTAACGGTATGCCTTGAAAAGCAGTTACTAAGTTGTAGGCCTCTTAGATACACTACTTTATGGGAGCGTTGGTGTTTTGGCGATGACAAAACGTCCTCTCTAGACAAGACTGTTGTTTCCCATTCCCAGTCGTCAAAGGGGTCGTCATGTCGTCGGATAACATAGCCAGGTGGGTGGCGATGTAGAGAGAGATAATCTTAGTCATGCTCAATCCTACACATCTGGGATCAGCGTTCCATGCAGAGTCGTTTCATTAACAGAAGACGAAGCGAGAGTACTGTTGGTGACTACGATGCAGATCTACCAGTGCCACAAGACGATTCGATGCTTGCGGTAGCAGGTCCACCTTGGTCACCCTACCAACGGTCTACATCTTGTCAAAGGCCATCCTACGTTTCCTCTGTTTCACATCAAGTCGCGAGGATGGAGTGGTATGACTCCTGAATGTCCCTTTTAAATGCAATGTTGTGTTAGTAGTTATGACTTGGTTCGATCTTGCTGGTAGTAGAATACAAAGCGATCCGTCTTTGTCCACCCGACTAGCACAGAGAGTAGATAGAATTAAATTTAGGGGGATGATAATATTAATCTTTGTAAGAATAATTTCGCATCTCATAAAAACAACGTAAACTACTATTCTCAATGAATTTAATAATTCGCCTGCCGCGCTAGAGATGGAGCACAATGGCAGCTGAGGAAACTGTTGAGAATTATTTATTATCGC